TAGTGACCTTGACCTAATCAGTTCATCCCTGATGAAAAGTGGACATTTGTGCCAAATGTGAGGAAATTTCCTCAAGGTGTTTCTAAGATACCGCGTTCATGAGAATGTGACGGATGTTAGGTTACAGTGACTTTGACTTTAGATCACCAAAAATCTAATTTGTTCGTCCTCTAGTCCAAGTGGACGTTTGTGCCAAACTTGAGGAATTTTCCTTACGGTATTCTTGAAATATCACGTTCACAAGAACAGAACGAACAACTCCAAAACAAAATGCCTCCAGCCATGGCTGGCGCATTTACATCAACTCAACTCAACTCTATTTTTATACTATGAAAAGAAAAAAAATCTCTAAAATAGTGGGGCTGTGGTTTGAGAATATAGGGAACCACCACAGTGAAGACTAAAATTAAATTAGGAGGAAAAACATTGTGCCGTGATAAAAGTGTTGTTCCTAATTACTTGCACTGACATTCTTCTGCTTTATTGATATTTTTGTAGTGGCAATTCTTTTGTGCCTTTATATGCAATCACCTTGAGGTGGTGTAAAACAGGACAATATAAAGGCAAGGCTTGAAAATGAAAGAGATATTATTTAAATTTATATGTATCCTCATTTCCACACTCTTCCTTACAGCAAACAGATAAAACAAGTCCTGTTGCTCAGTGTGTTATCAGGCCCAGAATAAAAGCAGCCACAGGCCACCAGCACAGTATAAATCAGGCTTATCAAGGTAAGGATACTGTAAATGTTAAAGCAGCTGCATAGATGATGCTCCATTGAAAAGCTAGCACAAAGAACATCTGCCAATACGAAGCAGTTTGCCTTGCTCCATATAAGTGTCCTTACTTGCTGGGGTGGACTGTAGATTGGTACCTGATGATTTATGTCTCCATTGATTATTACTGAACTGGTCCTGTAGAGTGTGAACACGGTATTAGTTTGCTGATATTTACTAGTACACTAAAGCACTTTAGATAAAAGCCTAGATAGCTCCTTTACAGTACTTATTGTATTCACACGTTGTAAATCAATACTTATTTATGTGCTAGTGAGAGAACCACAAGACATGTCAAACAGATGGCAGCTCATCTTTCCCTTCCTCATATTCTTTATGTGGAACATGCTGATGTAATACAATAAAGATGTTGGCATTGAGTCAGAAAGGTCACATCACAGCTAAGACATTAAAAGGATCATTAAATGTTTTGGCGACAGCATTCACACGGAACCTATCACCACATACAACAAAAGACTGCTCTGGTTCCAAAGCTCTGTCATGTGGCAGGAGTGAGTGATGGAGGGGAGGATTGTCAGGTCCACAGATGACTGCGGCTGCAATAGGCACCACCGAGAGCAGCTGTCAGGACAGAAATACAGTAGCAAAACAGCGGGGCGAAAGGGGAAACCCTGTCGTCTTCCTCTGGCTTCTGTATGCAGCTCACTGCGCCGCTGAACGAGAGGAAGGAGGAAGGGAAGGCAGTGTGTGAGGGGAATTAGATGGTGACAGAGAGAAGGAGCTGAGGGAGATCAAGTGAGGTAATGCTGGAGAGGAGAGAAGGGAAGAGCAGGAGATGAGGGAGCAAGAACTGAGAAAATGAGAAGGGTGGACGAAAGTGCCTGAGGCTGTGCTGTCTGTTAGTAAGACTCTTCTTCTCTGACTAACAAATACTTCAGTATGGGATGTGGATCTACCTCTGATTACACATTCAGATCACACTCTATAGGATCCAGAGCATCCACCAAAGACACCGAATAATTTGTGTTTAAGTATGATTCCTCTTTAAGGCAACAGATTGTTCAAAGCAGACGTGATGGGAAATCAGCTAGCAGGACAGGGTTGTGTCTGTCAGTGGGGTAGGACGATATCTCCTGATTCGATACCATCACAGCACATGGGTGCAGATTCAATGTATTGCGATTTTTAACTATTTTGACTCAACAAGAATTGCAATTTCAAATTATGAAATTATTGAGATTTTTGTCTAGAAGTGTATGAGTTAACTAAAAAGATCCCAAGCTGACCAATGGAAAATCAGTGGGCTTCACAGCGCTTCTGTCTCCAGTGTGAATCTAGCGTAAGTAGCAGGAAAGGGGAAAGTTGACAGAGGTTCTGCCAGGGACCAAGCTCACTCAACTGTCATTGGAGCACAAAACAAAAAAGGGCGGGACTTAAGGAGGGCTAATTCTCGATTGAGCTACAGTTTGCTTTTATGTGGTCAAAGTTCCCTTTGACCCTCCTTGAATGTCTCCCTATCCTTGTCACTCTGTGAGGACAAGAGACTGCGGAGTAACACACACACACACAAACATACCACACACACCTCATAGCACCATTAGCATAATGAGGCGCATCACTATCAGGTTAATTAGCAGATGGGATTAGAGTGTGATGAGAGGCTTGGCTTAGGGAGAGAGGAGGAGATGGTACAACAGAGAGGAGAGCAGAGGAGGGGTTGTGGGGTATGGCAGGTCACGCAGAGCAGCATCTGGATGCTGAGATCACATAAATACAAGGAGGATGCAATTAAAACCTCTGCTTCATCTTTGTTGGATTAAAAAATAAGGAGAGGAAAACAGAAAAGGGGGAAGAGAAGAGAAGGAGAGTAATCAGCAGCAAGTTGTGCCTCAAATAAGGAAGCTGCAGATTAGTCTCCGCTTAGGGAGTCTGAATCTGAGCGCAAACACTCATCAGGATAACAATGCTCTCCCTCCCTCCCTCCCTCCCTCCCTCCCTCCTCTCATCCCTTCCGGCAGGCGTAGATAAATGTAGACGCACAGCCAGAGGATGGAGCTACGTAATGAATACCAAGGTCGTGGTGTACCACTGAAGTTACAGCCTGCAAATATTTGAGGCGGGAGTTGATGGAGCTGTGTGAACCTGCATGTGTCGAGAATATTTAACCTCTTGCTCTTTTATGCTCAGATCTACGCAGGATTTATAAATGATCTCTGATTGGCAGATGTGAGCACCGATCATGCTCAATGATGCTCAAAAATGCATCATCCCATTAACTGACGCTGTTGCCACGAGTCGTCGTTCATTAACTGCCTGCTGGGCTCTCAGGCTGTCAGCACTGAAGTAAAGTTTGCAACAAGAAAAGTCGGGGCTGTGGCAAGTCGTAACTACAGCCCTCTGTCTTTGCGGTGAGCTTCCTGTGATTAATTAAGACATTTCACTCTAATCATTGTTTCTGGTGAACACATTGTTAACTCTTGTTCACATGAAAACAGTTTTAGTGTTGACATGTGTCTTTAGTTATCCTTTCAAATAATGTTCCCATGGACTGCAACTTCCTGTCTCGGAGTGTTTCGTACCTCCTGCACACAGAGTGGCAGCTAGTTTACCTCCAGTATTACAGCTTCTTTATTATTGGATACATGTAAATCCCTCAGACCTTTGGAGTAGAAGCCCTGATGTGTTGTTCTATTGTACTCTCTGTCTTTTATTCTCACCTGGTAATTAAAAAAATAAAGCTCATTTGCTATTTTAGGATGGGATTGTTTTATTCTAAGAAATATTTTACCAACCGGAAAACCGAAATAGGCTATATCCCTAATACAAAATAATGTGATGCTCATATCTGTTTTAGTGCATTATTTTGTCATACGTCCTGTTACAGTTAAGTCAAAGTAAGTACATGTTCTTGCTGTGTGTCATGCAGTCAGGCTGCTTGTTGGATAAAAAATTCTCAATGACCTGGACAAGATGAGGTGGGACCAGCTATTTAAACTCAGAACTTGGTAGAAAATCAAGAGAAATCAAATGACGCTCTGTTTTTATCCCAACAACACAGATATTGTTATCGTGCTCAGTGTTCACAAAAGTCTAAGTAATCAACAGAAAGTGAATTTGAAAAAAATCTAATGACTAAATACTGCTTGGATTAATGGATTATTTTTCTACAAAGACTTTATATGTGAAGGTGATTCAGTTCTGAAGTTTGTATTGGGGTGTAAACATTTTCAAACCGGTGTGATATAAAGCCAAACACCCGACCAGTATACCAAAGTTTACCACTGGGTGTTGCACTTGAGTCAGCAGCTGGAACATGATGACACCGATACCCCCTTTCCACCAAATTAGCTCTGGTTCTTGAACCAGTGCGGTTCCAGATTCTCTGTACCTTGGGTCTATCTAGCAAACCGGCCTGTGTTTAAGCAGATCCATTGTTATCAAGGATGTGTCATCAACTGAGGGTTTTGCACAAAGCACTATGAAAGTAAACAGTAGTAGCAAAATGGCAGATCGCACTGATAACCTGAAAGCTTTTTTTTCTCCTGACAATTTTACACTTGACTCCTCTATTGCTCTCCATTCTCCAAGAAGAAGCAGAGAATGAAGCAGCATCACAATGAGCAGGACAACTGGCACACCTTTTTCTGCCATGTGTGATAATGTCACCCCCAAAAAACACATTAACTTTCTAGTAAACAAACGCATCATGTGCTATCCACATCTCTCCCCCTTCCACCTATACTGAAGTATAATCTCCTTCATATTGCTGGGCTCGGCTCAGCAGTAAATTACACACGACCTGTCAGATACTGGTGGCTCTGATGCTCCGTTTATAAACAGACATTATGTTAATCATGTTGTCATATTGCTAATTACTACTGCAAAACAAGTTGGATTTAGCGCTGTGATGCTGTCAGCACAGGTTGCTAATGTAGGCTACTTTTATTTGCCAGAACATGTCATAATGACAAATGCCAGTTCGGCCTGTGTGCATAAAATCAAACTAGTTTAAGCTTGTACACCAGACCAGACTGGCAAAACCAAAAATGAATTCAACTCATTACTGGAATACTGTGTTACATACATGTGTAACACTACAGTGGGGCATCCTGGAAGCCCAACGGTAAAGACTCACACAGTACCACATATCCTCAACATCCCCAGTTCAACTCCAACCATGACACTGCGAAGCAAGTCATACCTGTATCTCTTTGCCTCTCTACTTTCACACAAACAGACACGCACATACAGAGGCAGACCTACCTGTGTCCTGGGAGTTGAGCACCTCCAGGGCGTGCATCATGGCACTGGCAAATACGTTGGCATCCTCCTTGCTGCCGAAGTTGAGGCCATAGACCTGCCGGGCGTCGCGCCACTGGTGGAAGGTCTGTGTGGCCTGGTTGTACTTCAGCCCCTTGGGAATGGCACAGTTTATCACCACCTGGAGACGTCCATGATGAGCAAGGGGGGAAATAAGAGAAAAGGAAATGTCCTTTAGATAAGTACCCATTAATGAGATAGCATTTTTAAAGTAACCCACCTAGCAAGTGTTCAAAATACAACTTTATTTAAGGAGCCGCCAAGAACAACATGCTGTCCAGTCCTGTATAGCTGTTGCCAACGTGTTGAGAGCTTAAACTGACAGGAAATAGCCTTGTGGAAAAGATTAGGAAAACTTGAATGTGACAGCGTGTTTCAAGGTTGACCTGAGATTTATTGCTCAGAAGCACAAATAGAGACATAAAAACAGGGAGGGAAAATATTGTGGTTTCACTGCGTCAATCACCCAGTCTATCAATCATGACGCCACCTCTGTGCACCTGCTGCCAAGCTCAGGAGCTGACAAAAGATGATTCAGAACAAACTCACACACTCCCTCTAAAAAGCCAAGTCTCATTAAACACCGAGTGACAAGACTGGGACTCTGTAGCCATTATGTGGTAAAAGGTCATTTTTACCTGCTCGTAAAGTGACTTTATGATCCACTCACTCTGAGTTTAAGGTGCTTTTGATGCTAACGTTGGGGATTTTTAGCGTCCTGGGCACTCAGCCAAGCAGAAACACCTCAAGCTTGCTCCTCTCTGTTATTGAGACAGAAAACCTGAGGGACTGTGACAACAACAGATTCTCCTCTCTCCGCTTCTGCATCTTCCAAACACACAACGTGAAAAGCAGGATCTTTAATCTGCATCGTGATCAGTAAATGAAATGCGGGGATGATGTAAAAACACTTTTCATCTGATACAGCTGAAATAGCCTGAAAGATTGTGTAATGTGGTTTAATCTTATAATCACTGTATCATCTCATGTCCAGACTAATAAGAGGCTGAATCCAAAACATTCCCCAACAGGGACCCCGTGGTCCAAAGCTTATCTGACGGGGCCCCGTGGATAGTTAAGATTTCAGAAATCTCATGGTGAATTGAGAGATTAAACTGTGCTGAGACCTGCTCTCAAAAAGGTAATATTTTCTCCTGAGCTCAATATTGCTTTGGCCAATAAACAGCTCTTCCAGCACTAAAACCTGGAACCTATCCGCTAGTTTATGGAACGAGGTCTAGCGCTGGTGCCTGCAAAATTTATTTCAACCCAGCGAGAAATAATCTAGTGTCAATTTCTGTGGTAATCATAATGTCTCTCTGGCAGGCGGGAAGGGATTCACATAACCGTCCTTTTATTGTTGAAGGACTGAGTATTAAAACAAGCAGCCAGTAAATGTGAGAAGGAACTGAGATGGTGTAACTCTAGATGCTTATTGTAGGTGGCAGTGAATAAAACAAACAGAGGAAATGTGCATCTTATGATAGCGGTGCCACACAAACTGAAAATCAGCCTGAAGCTCAGAGTGTGAACCGCTAACACAAACGCAGCCGGTCCACCCACTGGTGTCCCATTCCCTTTTCAAAGGGAACCTATTATGCTTTTCCTTATTTTCTGTCATAGAAATAATTTTACAATAATAAACGTTGCCAAAGTTTCAAATAACGAGGGAAATGTATATAAAAGTATTCCCTGTCAGCAAAAACCTCGGGCTTCATACCATTCTGAATGCTCTGTCTCCAATGGCTTGTTCTACTTTCTAGACAAGCTGATGTCAGCTCATGACAGATTTCTTTATATACTGCAATCTGCTTCAGACACACTACTGCAAATGTTTACATTACATTACACTGCGACATACATGCTTACAGCATGGTGATTTTTCAAGCAGGAAGCGCTGCTATTCTCTGCTATAGTCATTCCCTGGCGGTGAGTACACTGCTACATGTAGCTACGTGCTTACAGCAGGGAAACATGCAATCTTGGTTGCTGATGTTTTTAATTTTCTCCCGATTTTGGATCATATTCCTGCTGAAGCATGTCTGGTTGTGAAGATGTTGGTTTAGAAGCTTTCAAAAAAGAAAGTGCTGCTATTCTCTGTTATAGCCATGCCCCAAGTAGCTTATATTGCTACAAGTAGAAGCTAATGTCAGGAACATATGTAACCTAGGTCGCCAATGCTGTTCATTTGGCCTCAATTTCAGACCATATTCCTGCTGGAACATATCTGATAAAATCCCCCAAAATAAGCTTAATAGGTCCCCCTAAATGTCCAGAGTCAAAGGTCATACTTTGACCAGCGTTTGTCATTTTTACAAATTTCATGATTTTAGGATTGAGTGTCAGAAAGTGCCAAGAAAAAAAAAAACAACATTCTAGGTTTAGAGTAATGCTAATTTCCCCTTTTTATAGGTATCTTACTATATAATGACGAAAACTCTGTCTGTCTGTGGGTGTGTGTGTGTGTGTGTGTGTGTGTCTGTTCCACGTTTTTCTCCTGACTGACTAGGTCAATCCATGTGAAATTTGGCACAGTGGTAGAGGGTCATGGGAGGATGCGAATGAAGCAATATTACATCAATTGGCCAAAGGTGGGGCGCTATAGCAACTGATTGAAATTGCAAACTTTGAATGGGCATATCTCATGCCCTGTATGTCGTAGAGACATGACACCTTGCACAGAGATGCCTCTCCTCATGAGGAACAAATCTGCCTCAAAAACCCATAACTTCCGGGCATATAGATTTTCAGCCATTTTGAATTTTTTGAAAAACACTTAAAATTGATCTCTTCCTAGGAAGTTTGACCAATCTGCATGAAACTCGGTGAACATAATCTAGGGACCAATATCTAAAGTTCCCTCTTGGCAAAAGTTGGAAAACTTACTAAAACTGAACTTCTATAAGGCAATGAATAATGCGGAGGGCGTGGCTCATCACATAAAGGTGTATAACATCTCAAGGGTTTCACCGATCACCACGCAACTTTGTAGGCATATGACCACACATAATCTGAGGGGACCCCTCCATTATTGACCCCATCAAACAAAATGGGGGCGCTAGAGAGCTAATTTCTTATCTAGGCCTAACCACCATATTGAGTTTTACTAAACTTCGTAGATATGTAGAACAGGACGCCTCAAGGTGACTGGAGAAATTCAACTCTAATTGGCAACTGGGTGGCTCTATAACAACAGAAAAATGCTTAAAAATGGCTAAAATGCAACCGATCACTGTGGCTCCCCCTGTGTTTTTGTGTTTTTTCTAATTTTTGGTATGACTAAGTCATGGTACAGTATGCTATACTCAATGTGTATGGACTAGTATATTATAATATTATAATAAACATCCCATTGCTCCCATTTAAGTTACTGTTAACACTTCTACCATATTTATTTCCAAGGTAAATTCCACAAATTCACTTAGTACAACACATACTCTACAAACCATTGCTCTAAGTTTCTCTTTTGAACAGAATAATGTTGTCACTCATTGAATAATCCCATTCAGCTCTACTTTGCCTTCTGTTTGACTGGTGTTAACCAACTGTCAAACTCAGATCTTCCTGCATTTCACATAAAAAGTTTTTCAGCTGTACAAAGGGCATTATCTCCTGCTTTTTTGGTTGACTTTTATTGTGAAACATTGACATGTTCAGCTTGTGTCCTTCAGCAGGGTCATCTCCTACACACAACACATTACATTACAACATTTAATAGTGTTTTTAAATGTTCTTTGCGTTTCACTTTCCCATGCACCTTGGAAATGGTGAAGTTCCAGAAATTCTTACTGCTACGGTATGACCTGATGTTGTTGTTCTGATTGTAGAAGAATGTAAATTGCTGAAGACACAGAGGCATCATGACTTATCCTCCTCCTTCCCTCCAGCCACACAGGAAAACTCAGACAACAAGACAGAGAGGATTGCGGGATTGCTGAGGCAGCGTGTGCTGACCCATGGGAGGGAATCACTCACATGCTGTCATCACACACACACACACACACACACACACACACACACACACACACAAGCACAAGCACAAGCACAAGCACAAGCCTCCAGTGGTCCTCATCTACATATTTATGCCTTTTCTTCCAGTAGCTACTTGTTGTGTTTTGTTCTGTATTGTTACACTTGTGAAAATAAAAGCGCAGTGGCCTGGTTGTCATGCAGACACACACCCACAGTGCATCAGTCCTGCATGGAATACTTCTAGAGCTGCAACAATTACTCGATTGGTTGTCAACCATTAAATTATTTGCTAACTAATTTGATAATCGATTGGTGTGAGTAATTTTTTTAAGCAAAAAAAAAAAAATCAGATTCCAGTGTCTTTAATGTGAATATTTTTTGGTTTCCTTAGTTCTCTATGACAGTGTATCTTTGGGTTGTGCCGTACTGGTTGACATTTTTCACCATTTTCTGACATTTTATAGACCAAACAACTAATCGATTAATTGAGAAAATAATCAATGAATTAATCAACAATGAAAATAATTGTTAGATGCTGCCCAAGATGGTCCTATGGAAAGTGAGGATTATGCTTCATATTAAGCTGTGAGCTGACTAGAGCTTCTTACTGCTCCTATTACCTCTGGCTTTTAGTGCTGCTGTGTATGAGTGAATATGTATGTTTTTATATGAGCTTTGGTGTGTGTTAGGGCTGTAACAGTTTGTGCATTCATAAACTGTCTCGGAAAGAGGGTCACTGCATGCAGCCACACACAGAATACATGCTAAGTAAAGGGATGCAGGTAATGTAGAACCAAAGTTTACAACTGTGAGTTCCACCTGGAAAGACTCCTCATTATGCACAAGTTTTATGTTTTCATTATTACATGTATTTTGGTATTTTCAATTTCATATCATAAGAGATGCTTTTCAGTTTTATAGCCGCTTGTGATCTTTTAGGGCAAGTGTTTCTTCAGTGTTCGTATAGTGTAATACAGAAGTGTTCCTTTCCTTCATAATGAAAATAGTTCACCAAAGTTGCCAGTGGGCAAAATGTTACCTCTGTCCCCAGCTCACAATAAAAGAAAAATACACAGATCCTTATGAATTTTGGTTTTTAATAATGTCTTGCAAGAGATGAAATAGCAACACACAAAGATTCCTGGAACACTTTATAAAGTCACTTGGCTCTTAAGGTTTGGCTCCTGGGACTCCACATGACTCTCTTCCTCATACCTGCTGACAACTTCACTTTCTTTAAACTGTATTACTTGCATATTAGATTTAACAAGCTTTGAATTATTTACAGTCCTTTGTCAACCTTGAGAGTGCTGAGCACACACTGTCATATTTGATGCATATTTGTGGAGGGGTGCTGAATAGCTAGTAGTATGTGTGCACATAAATATCACAGGGTGCTGGCTATGTATTTGCATGAATAGTTATTTAAGTTTGTTAAGTTTAATTTTGAAATCTTTAATCTGACTCTTTCTCCTTGACTGCTGTAACACTGTAATTTCTCAATTATGGGATCAATAAAGGCGTATCTTATCTTATCTTATCTTATCTTATGTAGTCATGTGTTGACATCACTTGTTCCCTAAAACTGAACAGTTTTTTTTGTTGATGTTTTTCTGTGACTAGGCGACCAATGAAGTCTTGCTGACTAATGACCTTTCTGGTCAACTAACGTTTGGTCGACTACTATTGTTTCTCTGACTCCAGCAGTGGCCATGGTGTCTGGAAAAGTGCAGCTGCAGGCTACCAGTATGATATGTTGTGTTGTCTTTAAAGAGTTTTTTTGTTGTTGTTGTTATTTCTTTTGTCTTTGGATAAACAAGCGGTTTTGATGATTAAAACTGAAAGCTGATTTGGTCCATATTTGGTTCATGCATCTGACCAACTGACTCCATGCACTGAATGAATAAAGGTTCCATGTGGGTGCAAAATTGCCCGTTACTTGTTTCACTGACCTGATGATCTTGGATCTTGCGTCCCACTACGCGGAAGGCGTTATTGCCCGTATGGTGATAGATGTGGACTCTGCTGAAGCCCGTGGAACCACCAGCTGGGACCCACTTCTTATTGGCATCGTCATACACCATAACAGCGGCTCGCGCCTGGCAGATACTCTGTTCACTGCAAGAACACAAAGACAGGAAATCATTTTACAATCTGATATGATGGTCAAACATTCATTTCAGCTGAACTGATAATCCCCAACTCATGTAGCCCCCAGGAGTTTGTTAACCACCTTTGATTTCTCCTGTTTTTAATTCTTTTGTGTACCTCTTTGAAGTAAACCTTTAATACAACATGTGTTCAGTCTGAAAGTCACAATAGCCTGGGGGATGTTCTGAACTGTGATTATAGGTACGATGGTGATGCAACAGGTATGAAGTCAAACCATGTGAGAGTCAGGCCGGCTCTGCTAAATCTACTGCTGTAATTACAAAGACACGCCAACATCTTTATTCGGGACAGTATGACCCTGCTACACACAAAAAAGACACACTGCTAAATAATTCAGTCAGTGCGTCTCCTACTACAGCGCAGGTCACCATTAGACCAACAGAATCATTTTTAATGGTGCTTGTAACACCAAATACCCATTATGTTTGACATGGTTAAACATAATATTAAATCTGTTATCAAATGCAGCACTCTGGTCTCAATTAAACAGAAGTAATCACAATGCAACAACATACTGTCTTCCTATTTAGCTAGCAAATATCATCAGTGCTGTGATTAAAGGGGACACATTGTGCACATTTTCAGGTTCATACTTGTATTTTATTCAAGTAACACTTTATTTTACCTCATATTGTCTGTGCTGGAACACCTGTATTCACCCTCTGTCTGAAACACTATGTTATTTTTACAGTCTATGGTTGCACCCATCTCTCGAAGTCCTCCTCCTAAAAAAGCTGATTGGTCAGCATTTCCAGGTCTCCCATTTCTCAGTACCTCTCCAATGTCACTGCAGCCAGGGGAATGAGGAATGACTGTAACAGAGTATAAATCACCAATACAAGCTTCTAAACCCTGGTTATTCAAGAGGGGGTCTGGGACCCCTAGGGGGTCCACAGAGTTAATGCAGTTTGTCCGAAAATACACATTAACATGAATCCGCCATATTATTAGCAAAAATAAATTTGTCTATTTGAAAAAAATGATTGCACACAACATACCAATGATGACAGGCTAGCTGTTACCCATGAATCCTTGCACAATCATGTTAGCTAGCAAACGTTTAATCACTGTTTAACATCTAGTTTAAGTGGTGGACATTCTTGTGAGCAAAAATGGAACGTTTAATAACTTTTTCAAGCAAGAGACTCTTAAATACCTTCCACTTCAGAAACAAAATGAATGTATAAAAATATGAATTGCCATCTATTATTACTTTAATAGATAAGCATTGTATGCACCACACAAGGGCATGTTTAGACACAGCACTTTAGATTGCACTACACATTATTGTCTCCCCACTTCAATATGCAGCTCAATTTTAGAAAAATATGTAGTAGGAGGTCCCTGCTCTGTCTGTCTTTCAGCTAGAGGTCCTTGGCCTGAAAAATGTTGAAGACCCCTGTTCTAAACCAAAATCTTTACAACCGGACATATTCCAACAGGAGAATGATCTCAAATCAGGAAGAAACTATAAAGACAGCACCAAAGATCATCGGTTTCCCTGTCATTAGCATGTGGCTACATGTAGCAGCGTACTTGCAGCTTAGGACTGACTGCAGCAGAGAATAGTGGCACTGTCTACTGTGAAAAATAAATAAAAGCACTAAAGGCTTCTAAACACTACCAAACAAGTTATTGCGGGAATGCAATCCAAAATCTGTTTATCTGACATTAGCCTGTAGCTAAATGTAGCGGTTAGGGATGGGCAACACAAGCAAAAACACTATTCGAAAATCGTGGCAACTGTTCGACAATTTTTCGAATAATCGCCCCCCGGAACCACGCACACAGAGATCCATTCATCTTTAAAGGCCCGAACATACTCCGGCAGAACGGACTCCGCGGAGGTTCACGCGGACTCAAAGCGGACGTCCGCAATCCCTGTGCGTGCACACCGGTGACTGCTCGGCATGTATTTTTCACATCGGAGATTTTTCACGGACATTTTTACAGGAAACTACAACGCGGAAGTGCGCTCGACTATGAAAGCCCGAATGACTGTGGACATTCCTCACAGAGTAGTAGTCTCTGCATGTTTCTCCTGTTTGTAGAAGAGCATCAAACTAGCTGGTAGCCCATCTCACACCGCTGTAGCAATCCTAGACTGCCCTTGTGCGGTTAGGAGCTGAACTGCATGTCAAATATAGGGGGAGAAATAAGACGGCGAATAGTAATAGTTGCATTAAAAAATCGATTTTTCAAAAATAAAACGACTATTCGAAATTCGAAAATCGTGACACATCCCTAGCAGCGGTGTATATAATGTAAACACTTGCAGTATTGTGCCTGGAACAAATGACCATATAAGCTGTCACAAGTTGTAGCCAAACTAGCACTTTTACAAACGTTTACTTCATTATTTGAAACTATTGCCACATTTAATATGAACATCTGACACTGTAACATTATATATACATATGAAAGAAAATAAGAGAAGACACAATAGATCCAACTAATTAAAGAATGTAGTACAGCCCTTCCTATCCTTTCACATTCCTCAGTGACGTCCCTAATAATCCAGTTTATGATTCCATAAACGCACAGATGACTAAGGAAGAGCCATAAGGGGAATATGTGGCGTAACAACTTAAAGACAGAGACAGAACCACACCAACATTTCCTTTAGCATTTTACACAGTCTACACACTGCTATTACTAGCATGCAAGCACAAGGAGTGAGTTCATATGAGATCTAATTCAGAGCATTTCAGCCCTTGAGCACAGAACTAATGAAATCTGCTTCATGGGTGGCTGGCTGCATTTTCTATCTCTCACTAAATAGCTATACAATCTTGCAAAGAGTTCAGTGACATGCCTTGGTAACTGATAGCTGGACACCTAGAAGCTGTGTGCCTTCACTCTAAAGGAATATTCAGGCAATTCAGTATTGAAGTTAGTTCCATAAGAGTTGGGAGACTTGCACAAGGCCGAATAAAAAAAGAGAAGGTCAAAATCCAAGCAACGGAGGCTGACATATCCTGATGTTTAGCTCTAAAACAGTACCCCTACATTTTCCATGACACCTATAAGCAGGGCTGGGCAAAATGGTCTAGAAATAATATTGTGATATTTTTAGACTATATCGCAATACACAATGTATACCTCATATAGGCAGTTGAAATGTGACTTACGCATATCCCTCTTATTACACACAACACACATATGCAATAGCAGTAAAGGGATACCGCAGGGTCAATCATAAAATGGCACCCCTGAAGCAGTTTGGGGGTTCAGTGCCTTGCTCAAGGGCACCTTGGCAGTGCCCGGGGCAAACTGTTATAATACAGTTATAATAAAGTTAAATACAGAACTGTTATAATAAAGTATTGTTATAATGAATAAAATTAAAGCAGAACCACTGGTGCCTTTATTATGGAGCACCTGGCTCAGGCGGAAATGTTGATGTTTTTGCTGTGAACTTAAAGATTCCCATCAACATTTAGCTGTTAGCAAAAAATTTAACTGCTACGTCATTAAACTGGAGGATTTATTCACTGTGAGCTGGAAAAAAACTAACAGCTCTTCAGTTCACATATTAATGTTTGCTAGTCACACTGGTGCTCTGTGGTTGAAAAATGCAACTAAATGTTCACAGTCTAGAGCCCAGGAAGTACTTCCCAGGAAAGTGTGGTCTTAATGGGCAGGAAAATGTGTGATGTATTATATGTGTGCCACTGGTTAAAAAACATGACGTGACAATTTATGCTCAATGTTCGTGAAACAGTAATTTTATACCCACGTAGAAGAAGCCACGATACATGATACGGGCAATGCTGTATAATCGCCCACCCCTACCTATGACATGACATTTTGTTAGACCATTACTGCCTGGCTAATGCCCATAAGGGCACATCATAAGGGTCCTTTCCTCCTCCAGAGACACACAACACAATGTCTGACGTTTTTTTCCACAGGCTGTGTAACACAAGTAAGCTGAAATCATGTGTGACTGCCCCTTTAATGTGCCATGATTGACACCCACAGTATAATGAATGCAGCTACGTGACAGACTGTAGGGAGGAAACTACAACTACTATAACCAGAGAATGACAGAAGAAAACAGATGAGAAGAAAGCACTCCAGTGATATGAATTTCTGTATGTCACAACCTGAATACGAGAAGAAAAAGTGACAGAAAGTGAGAGGGGAAGAGAAAGAAACAGAGGAAGAAGAGATCGAGAAGCGGTGAGCATAAAAATGGAGTAAATGACAGGCACAAATTGCTGGGGGAGAAGAAAAGAAAGGGTGAAGAAGTGGAAAAAAAAGTGGGGAGGGAAGTGATGCGAGGACAGATCCACTTCCACTGAGACACACACACTCTGTGTTTTTTAAAGTATCTGTTTCAAGGTTGGAAAATGCATGAAAATGGTGGCTCTGCACTAGCAAGAAGACACTGAATGATGCTCATACACGTGCACACACTGCAAACAGTGCGCTACACATGCCAAAGCTACTTAACATGCACTGTTTGAAATAACTTTCTGTAACAATCTTCTTGATAAAGCTCTGCAACATTTATCTGTGTGTGCTTGTGCTTACAAGTGTGCGCTCAACAGCACAGTCAAGGACACACACACACACACACACACACACACACACACACACACACACACGCACACGACTGTATCCATATGAACACATCAGCTCTCACACACTCTTTCACACCTCTGCTAATGTGCTTCATTATGACAACAGAAGCTGAACTGTGTTAGCGCTCTACAGCAGCTGATGAACTTACATTACCTTTTTTTTTTTTTTTTTTTTTGCACAAATCTCTTACATACTGCATTAAGAGTTAACACCTCAGCCCATCTCACATCTAACTGTGAGCAGAAATGAGCTGGAGCCGGTAATGAAGAGGAGAAAAGAAATCAAGGCAGGATAATTCATTCATGGCTTTTTACGTATTTTACAGTTAAATGATTAAACCTTACATCTTTATTAAA